ATATATATATATATATATATATATATATATATCAGGAAAATAATAAAATAATGTAAAATGGTGCAATGTAACGAGCCTTATAAAAATTAATAAATTAGAATGTTAAATATATATAAAATATAATTATTTTTATATTATTTTTGTATTTTTATATTAAGAAAGTATATTAATTATAAACATTATTGTTTAATTATAATATTTAATTTTTTATTTATAAATGTTTATATTTGTATTGTAACTGTATAAAAATATTGCAATTGTGTAGAATTCTTAAAAATTAAATAATGAAAGATTCTTCTATGTAAAAAAGAAGATAACTTACGTAATATCAGAGATTCTCTTGCTCATATAATGGTATTACTATCTAAAATATATTACAATAGTTTCAGAGAGTAGCACAAGAGATGCTTGCAGTATAAACATAATTTTATGTATATTATTATGATAATAAATTTATAGCAGGTTTATAGTAGAAAACAAAATTTTAAGATAGTATAGCAAATACAATGATGTTAAAGTTACGATTTGAGTATTGTGTCAAGTGGAGCTTCCGCTTTAAAGAAGGTTATTAAAAACTTTTGTACATTAAATATAATTTCAATTTATTAAAATTTAAATTCAAATTTAATTTGACGAGAGTAAAAACTTAAATTTATATTTAAAATTTTATAAATTTAAATTTTCTTAAAATAATAATATTTGTTTAAAATTTTAAATAAATTATATTTCTTTATAATATCTTTTTTAAGATTAATTTTTAGGATTAATTTATAAATTTGTTTCAAAAAGTGATTTGATACTATTTTGATGATCGTTAATATGTAATTTCTTTTTATTCTGCAACTTGGTAGAATAAATCAGAAGATAAATCTAAGTATCATCAATGGTGTCCGTTATTTATTATTAACCACGTTATTTGTTAAGAGAAAATATATTTAAAAATTGAATTTATTTAATTGCAATGATACATTAAGTAATTTATTCGGTTGGTTTAATATTACTGTTATGAATAACAAAAGAAAATTATCAAATACAATTATCAAATACAATTATAAAATTGTCATATGAAATTCTCATTATGAGTGATTTTTAATATCGAAAATATCTTCTGAAAATAGAATATGTATGTGATTTTTTTGGAGAAAATTTCAGAAAATGCTGCTAGGAGTAACTATTGCTATCAAAGACAAATCACCGAATCTAATATCAGGTTAAATACATTACGTCACAATATTTAGTAAAATATTCTAATTTTGATTGATTCTAATTTCTTATATTAATACTATATGACTAGAAGAATCAGTCTGTAGAGAGACAATCATATGAAAAATTGTCTACGTAGAAAAAACCAAAATGAATTTTAAGTTTTAATACTCAAGCTTTCATACTAAAAATACGAAGAGATTTTTCATCATTATTAAATTCTACTTTAAAAGATGACAAAGGAAAGATTTTCCATTACATTTTCTTTATATTCTTTATCTTGCAGTAATAATTTTATATGACACAAATTACCATGAGATATTCTATATAATTATTAACAAATATAATTATTAAAACAGAATTGCAATAAAACTGATATCTGTATATTTCAATATTTCAATATCTCAATATTTTATAAAAGCATCGTAAATATTACAAATTCTTTAAAATATTTATTTCGTGTAACAAGAATAATATAAATTTATCAATATATTTAGTTTAAATTTTCTTAAAATATTTGAAAAAGAATTTAAGATAAAAATAAATGTTAAATTACAGATTATTTATTTCGTTAAATAATTTTTACAAAAGCTAAATATTTAAAATTTTTTTAGATAATTAAAATATATATAATAATTATAATATAAGTATTACTTTTCTTTGGATTATATGCTAGTAGGAGCCGACGCTAGATAAGAAGCAGCAGAAAGAGATAAGCCTGTCGATTACACAAAGGAAAAGATTCTATGAAATGTGAACTCAAACATCTTTTGAGTATAGGGAAATATTATTTCTTTTTTACTTAATTATTGATTTTTTAATATTTAATGGATGAGGTCATTTTTTAAATATTGCTATGTTATGTGGAAATCATTCATGTAGAAATAATCGGAAATGTTTAAGTTTATTACGGGTGTGTGGAATGAAATTAATGACGTCTATAAATTAAATATCAAATTTCGAAAAGTACATCCCAAAATGAAAAATTTTACAATATTTATACAAATCTGTGTATATAAAGTACAGTTTATATAACGAAGAAATGTAATCAATGTCTGTTATAGACAATTTTTTTCATAATTTTGTATATTTTCTGGAAGTATACGAAGCTGTGAAATGTTAATTGTTGAATACATTCACTTATCGAAAATGGCTTCTTCAAATGATAGAAAATTTATGTATCTATCGGAATTCGAATTACGACATGAATCATGAAATTGAAACAGTGATAAAATATGTGAAAGGAATGCAATTAGAGAGGATTTCAAGGAAGGAATGTTGATTTCAAACAAAAGAACAATGTATACAATGTAATTGAATCGATTTATAGATCTTATTATATATCGAATGCAGGTATTTAAGCATTTGATTGCACTCAATACAATTGTTTTTATTTTAATATGCGTAAAATACGCTTAAATATGACACATTTATCCTAAATTGTTGATATTTAAATTTATTACAATTACAAATATAATTAATTGAACAAAAAATAAAAATTTTTTAATATAGAAACTGAACTGTTAAAGAAAATAATCTATATAGATTCAATTTTTATAAATAATATTTGAGATTACATTATTTTATTTGTTGCTGCAGAATGCGCTGCGAACTTTCGCGAAAAAAACAAATTTCCTTATATTTAGAAATACTGGAAACTTTTTGCGGATTAAATGTGGATGATTGAAATTTTGTATAGGCAAACGGTTTTGTTAAAATACACTTTAAATCTTTAGTTAATTCTATTTTTAAGATTGAATCGCTATGAAGTTCTCTATTATTTAATAGATCTTAAATTATTTGAGGGATTGACACAATTGATATTTTTTTATGTCAATTTATAAATTAAATCGTTGTTTATTCAAATTCTTTAAATAATTTAAAAAATGTATAAAAAAAATAACATGCAAATATTAATATACATTTAATATACATTAACATACAGTTAATATACAGTTAATATACATTAAATAACTTGTTTTTTGAAAATTATTATAGCTAATTATTATAGCTATTATATGATAAATGATTCTTTGAGTCAGTGTCTCCAAA